CTACTTACTCGAAGAACAGCGACAGAAGATTAAGAAGAAATTTGAGAAGGACAATGAGAAGCTTGCTGCGGAGGGAGAGAAGGAAATGAAGGCCAGCGAGCTCGAAAGCAGGCTCGAGGCCGTCAAGGAAATGGAGAACAAGTTCAGGAAAGAAAATAAGACGGGCAAAGTCGAAGTTGAGGGCAAAGGCCCCAGCGTTGAAAAGCTCGAAGCAGCCATCACGAAGCTGGAACAGCGCATTGAGACAATGGAGCTCCAAGCTCAGGACAAGGAAGAAAACAAGGAAGTCGCTTTGGGAACTTCGAAAATCGTGAGTCACCCATCCTCTACCGCATGATATGGAATGCGCCGGAGTATCGACTGACATTTGCTAGAATTACATTGATCCTCGTCTTACGGTCGTCTTCAGCAAGAAGTTCAATGTGCCGATTGAGAAGTTCTTCTCCAAGTCCTTGCGGGAGAAGTTCGAATGGGCCATCAAATCAGTCGACGAAAACTGGGAGTTCTAGATGACGTCGTTTAGGGCTGTCCCTGTGTTACTTCATGAATTTCTTTTAACGTCTAAGCTTTCTTTTTATAGCGACTAGACGGAGTACTCCGTAGCATACGTTCCATTTTGAAGCCTTTTCTTATCACAATGCTTGCTTGGGAAGCCCTGTCTATCGACCTGCTCACTCAACCAGTGTAGAGTCGGGCATTCGATGAATTAGCTTGGGTTCATACAACACTTTGTTCCTGATCAGAATCTCTGCTTTTGCTCTTTGGTTGTGTCTGCTCTCAGAGGCTGGTAACCTGTTTCTCCGCTGGGTGAGTTCGTTCCAGCAATCTGACCGGTATCATTCAAGAATTATAGAATATACAGTCGTCGACAATGTCACAACAATCTACAATATAGATGCACACCAAAGTCACTCATCTAAACTCAACTCGCAAAGAGACAGTGGGGCCATGTCCAAAGATCACAACTAAACGTCACAGAAGTTCTGCAAGGTCGCACCATGCAAGAAACGCAAATATGGGACAAAGTAACCATTATGATACATTTTCATCTAGTTATGCGGTCCGAGTTCAATGTAGGCATCAATGGCAAAGAAACACGTTAGCCATGTTCGACAACGAAAGTAGCAGAAATGTACAGTAAAGAAGCAGGCGGGAAATTTCAGCGCAGTCAGTCAAAGTGCATATGTTATGTTATGTACACCCAAGTCTACATGTTCATGAGGGTCATGAGCAGAAGAAGCAGCACTCTCTGAAGCAAGGAAAACGATGAAGTATGCCGGTGGACACGAAGAGGTTATCAGGAACATGCCGGTGTCGAAGGTCGCGGAGCTCGAGGTTGGGGAGAAGAAGAGTAGAAGACGAAAGTTAAATTACAGAGAAGAAGATGATGTGCCTCGTTTGTGGATGAAACAGACCAGGGATCCCTGGCGAGACGGCGTGTGGCGCGTGGCGCCGCTCTTTTCCACGGTAGAATTCAAGGGTCACCATGTGGTAGTGTGGAAGATAGAAAGGGTCGATGGCGGGCGGTGCTTGTCGCGACGGCAGACCGGCGATGCTTTATCAGGTTTGGCGTATTGCTTGAAAACGAGCTAAGGGCTCTATGGCCACCAGCCCATACGTTTGTAGCTGTCGACCATGGCGCGGACTCCCTCCGCATCAAAGCGTTCGCGTGTAGGCCTCCATCCGGTGGTTGTTTCGAACAAGGTGCCATCAATCGACATATCCTGGTCCTTGATGACATCTTTCTCGAGGAACGGGCTGATTGGCCCGGGACGTGTGATGCCCTTTTTCTCCAGCAGCTCTGCCCAGCCCTGTAGACTCACCTCGTTCATGTCATCGACAACATCGTCAAGGTTCAACTTGGCGAGTTGAGATGCCAACGATCCGAGGAATGAGGTTTTGAGCCCAAAGACCGTGGACAAAGCCTCCGCAACATGTTCCTGGCGAGTGTCGCCGTGGTCGACGACGTTGAAAGCAATCGGGGCGGATTTGTCAGTGGTTGCCGCCCTCCATTCGGCCGCCTTCCACAGAGCGCTAGCTGCGTCTTTTACGTAGAGCGTGTTAATTTTAAGGTTCTTTGTGTAAAGCAGTTCCAAATCCGTTTCCATGTCCAGGTGTACCCGCGCCAGGCAGATACCCATCGCGAAATAACCCGAGTCGTATTCACCGTAAACGTGTGGAAGTCGCAACAGACAGTAGTTGAGGCCCGGAATCTTCTTCAGCTCATCCGAAGCCTTCAGCTTCCATTTGGCAAGTCGATGCCAGGGCTCGAGCTTGTCGTTTTCTTTTCGAGGGGAAGAGCCAGGCTTGTATACATGAGCGGTCGAGCACTCGACGAAGGAACGGATGCCTCGACGAGCCACTTCGCGACCCAATGCCACCGTAAGATTGTAACTCCGTAGTTCGTAGACATCATCTGGCTGAGAGTGTCGTGTCTCACCACCGCAGTTGATCACATAGTCGAATTGTTCCCCGTTTGCACGGTCAAATATCCGCGGGAAGTGCTCTTTGTATCCGTACCAGACGACCGTCAGCAACAGTTCAGAGCAAAATTTGCGATGAAGTAGTTACTCACGTTCCCGACTAGCGTCTGCTTGAACAAACTTATCTTTCGAGCATGCCTCCTCGAACTCTGGTGCCAACCAGGCCAGCTGAGGGAGGACCTTGTCCACAAGTCGAACCTCCGAAGCGAGGTTGTTTTCATGGATATACAGAGCTAGATGACGACCGATGAATCCTAGAGCATTTACGAGTCATGTGTCAGTGATCCTGTCCATTTCCCCTTTTTCCTCGCACCAGAATGGAGATCGCATCGCGCATACCTAATCCTCCGACGATGAGCACAGCAGGCTTTTTCCCTTGGTCGCTCGCCATGATCGTATGCGACGGTAGTTCAGACACGCGCTTCGGTAGTACTTCTGCTCGCTTTCCTTCCGAGCTCGACTGTTTAGCCGATGTAAACCAGAGTCGACTCAAGTGAAATGTGTTCAATCAAGTTGGTCGACGCCCCGCACTCGAATTCGACAAACCAAATAATGCGGGGGTAATATTGAGAAAAGGGGGAGGGGGAAAGAGAAGGAAAATGATTAGAGACGAGATTAGTATCAGCCCGCTAACGACGAATGTGTTGACAAGCCTAAATGGATTTTTCTGGTCCGTTTGTCAGTCCCAGGAAAGAAAGCAGAAAGAAAAGGAAAAGGAGATGCCAACGTGCAGACACGAGGGCGACTCAGGATGGTCACTTGGGGGAAATCATTTTGGGACTAAGAGACGCTTTGATGAGCCGGAGCGTATCAGCTTCAATGGAGTCAAACCTAACGCCCCCTCGGCCTCTGAAACAGCCTCCTCTGATCTACTGTCGATGAGTAGTTGCATTACGCTTACAAATTTCTTTCTTTCGCTAAGATCATGTTAATGAATTGACGATTCATCTTCCTTCCTTCCGTGCGCTCCTGTTAAGGCGTGACTGTCTAGCCTATCGCCTCGACAGGAGCATTGAAGAAGATCAGTATGATGACGGCATCCCATCCTTCTACTTCTCTTTGGAACTGGCTTGACACTCTACGGTATGACCCGAACCAAACCCAAGGACCCAGTGATCGCCTTGTTTAAACATGGTAGACCTCCAGTATCCCACCACTAGCATCCTCTACGCTCTCGCTTACTGACTCTCCTTCGTTTTGTCCGGTTGCAGACCGACTATGATGGCCATCTTCATTTGCGAGAGTGATTTCTCTCGCGAACAAAATACAAGATGATGATAGTCACGACGGTGGTGAACCAACGGAAAAAGGTGGAGGGCCTTTCGCATTTTCCCACCCGAGCAAACTCCGTTAGCGCTACGTCTAGAAATTTCGCCAGAATAGTGGGGATATCCGCGGTCAGCATAGCCAATATCTGCTTGGTCGCTGCAGGGAACCCAGAAATTGATTGACCATCTCTTCCCCTGCCAAGCACGCGGTGTGGGACGCCCTCCGTTCTTCAGGGACACCGTCCGATCATAGTTCCGCCCCTAAGTGGGTTTGCGACCAGGAGGTACGAAGCCACACGCCCGAAAGAGCAATGATAGCGCAAGAGGCGCAAGAGGCGCAGAAAATACCGGCGGATTTGGGATTGTTGGTCATGGTCCCGGTGAGAGACCGAGGGACAATTCCAGGAACGATCGGATTGCGCAACATAAATCCCGGTTGGACAGTGCAAAGTTGAAGTCCAAGCCTGGGGTCAAGCTTTCAAGACGAAGCTGATCGCTTCGGGATATGAAATGGATGATCGTCGTTTTTTTGTACTACTTATCCATATTGAGCAGCTCAAGATGGGGCATGCGAAGTAATAGCAGTTACTCTGGGGCAATTCTGAATTGGTTCGTCGTAAAAATGCGGTAGACGTCGATGAGCCTTGACTCTTGACCACTTGAGCACTCGCTGGAGTGAGACAATTGAATCAAGCACCACTCTTGAAATTAACGAAAGCTTACTCAGGCATGTCTAAGGTAGGCTTCAGAACCTCAAAGCCTAAAACGTTTATGATCATAGGCCATTATTGCCATTTCCACGTCGTGCTCAAGCCACGTCTAGGGCGATCCAAATCCCGCAATGAATGAATATCGCTTAATGCAACAGGGCGGGTATGTCTCACTCTTGTTTTCTTCATTTGCCTCATTTCCGAGTCAAGAATTGCAAAAAGAACGAACCTATGTCCAAGCGTCCTGCACACTTAATCCAGATCATGACGCATTTCCTCCTTCAAGCTGGTCATAGCATGAACGCCATGTCTCAACTGTTGTCAAATGAATGGCTGGGCCTCTAGTGAGACTCGGCGTGCTCGTTCTTCTGAATTATTGTGCTGGTCAGTATACTTTCAATTCTGGTAAACGTCTGGTATGGATGTTGTACCTCAGTACTTGGCATAATTGAACCCCAATGCGAACTTTACCTATGCGCTCTTTCTCTCATGGTAGGTTTCTCAGCATAGATCCTGCAGCCTTACACCAAACAAGTAGCTCAGGAGACAACATGAAGCATCACAAGGATGTGGAATCGCTGGTTTCCAGCCTCGCTTCCATCGTCGCCTTGTTTAACTCTCCATGAATTGCGAAGTTCCTGCATCACAAATTCCCAGTCGTCATCCCTGCCCTGGCGTACCCGTATGAAGAACTCTGACCAGTCGAACTTGACGGACGCCGCCACAACTGCTTGCGGTGCTGGAGGACTGCTGTCCCACTTTGAGATCTCCTTGTTCAATTGAGCGCTAGGATCCCATTCGTGGATGTTGCATTCCTCCGCCATATGTGCTATGAACGATGCTGCCGATTGGAAGACCTGGAAGGGGACCCAAACAGGCGCCATGTTCGGCTGGGTTGAGGCTGATACTAGGAACTTTGTCTGCTGTTGTAGTGTGTCTTCGGGCATCCGCGCTGTGTCTGCAGGGGTGATTCTTGAGAGATGGGTCATCGTTGAGTCCGTTTTCGGGGTTCCAGAGTATTCAACACGGTTCACGTTTCTCGATGCCTCATGCAGGCTAACTGGTCCCTGTCTTCTCATGGTGTTGCTCGCGGTGTCACTGATAGAGCTAAATGGCCTAATGGCCCTGGCATCTGCATCTCCGAGCCGTGATGGCGAGGCTTCGAGGTCATCGGGGGCCCTTCTTTTTCCTAGCTGGTTATTGTTTTCGCCAACACTGGACGATAAACTTCCTGCCACTCCATTGGTAAGAACAAGGCTCGAAGAAGATACCGTTTTGGCAGGCGCATCGCTCGGTGTTTGAGGAGTCTGCGTTGTCCTTCCTGTTAGACATCATATCAAATCACGCAATCAAAAAAAAATATCAAAAAGAATTCATCGCACTGACCATATTAGCCTTGAGGATGCTTCGAGCCTTCTTCTGCAGCAGCATCTCAATCACGCGCACGATCCTAGCAGGGCGTCAACGCAGCTCAGACAGCAGCAAACCAACAGTATAAACTGAATACTCACTCCTTCTTCCTCTCCGGATAGATACAAAGAGAGGCCGGATCCGCTCGAGAATCCTTCATAAGGAACCTCTCCCTGTTCACCTCCTTGCCCCAATACAGCATCCCGTACCGGCCCAGAAAGCTCTCAGCACACGACATCCGCTCATGCTTAGATTGCTCCAACGTGCCCCAGTCAAATCCGAACTGTTCGGTGTGTTCCGTAAGCCGCGTTAGGAACTCCTTGTGATATTGGTCTTTCAAGTCGAGAAACAGCGTAAAATCGCGGTATCGCATGCTGAGCCGCAGAACACCATCATCTAGAGCTTCTTCCATGGCATTCTTTTCGGTATGTCCAATGGAAAGAGTTTGCTGGCTTCTCGTTTTAGAGGCCATGTTGCGTGGTCTAAGTGTGATCAGTGATCAGTTTTGTGTCGGACAGGTGAGTTGTGAGTATTGAACGAGAGCGTGGGTTGCATTCCTGCTCAGGAAAAGTGTGGTAAGTTGGCCTTGTTGTTAAAGACCTGAGGTGTTTCAGCAAACGTGTGAATGTGAAGTGAGCAGTGTGTTCGTGGCTCATGTGTTGGACTGGCTTCCAAAATCTCTACTCTCTTTGCAATTCACAATGAATTATTTTAGGCAGAAGGTGGTTGCTACTGCAGGCACGATATTTAGCTATGCTTCTTACTCCCTATACTCCATGGGGTGAAATGCCTTTCAATGAATGAGTTTCTTCTACTCTTCAGCAGACATGCATTGCTATAAGCAACATTAGGTTTGAGAAAATGAGCTCGTAGCTTTTTATGATTCATTAGTATTCGATCAGAATGACTTAGCAGAGCTATGTAGCATCATGGTCATCATAATATAGCGGAAAAGCTTACAAAAAGAAAGGCATAACTTGACCAAGCTGAACAGCTTAATCTGTGTACAAGAAGCTTTAGAAGGTTGCTCAGCGGGAAGTACATGCGCAGACATTGGCCTTTGAGTCCATTACTCTGCCCCCAGGTATTTCAAAGAGTTTCTGAGCTCTTTGATCGCCGTATCAACGTCATCAAATGTCAGTGCGGACACGGCCCAACGGGCATGCTTTTGGGCTAGAGCAATGGCTTGGTCATCGATCCCCTGTGAATTGCTTTGGTTTGAAGCTGAGACTGTGGGTACAGCCGCTAGTGCTGGTTGCTGGACAGGGCGCGAGACTACTGGTACCGGTGCTGTATGGGGTTGTGCAGGTGGTGAAGGAGCCCAGGCGCTTGGCTTGGGTTGATTATAGAAATCGCTGGGTTGGTTGAATGTAGCTGGAGGACTTGAAGGAAGGTTGGAAGGAGGAGGAAAGGAATGGAACGAATTAGGATAAGAATCAGCTGGATGATGAGCGCCCAGGCCTCCAGGTGTGTCTGGGAGATTCAGGATTGACGAAGAGGAGGCAATAGTCGCTGGAGCTGAAGGAAGATCTAAGGCCGGTCCTTGCTCGGCAGCGTGACCTGTTTCTGGAGCAGGTGTCCGTGGAGCGCTTGTTGGAACATCGGGTATGGTAAACGCGTCACCTGTACGCTGCGGCCGAGTAGCCGATGAAGATCTTGACGGGTGCAAGGATTCGTCCATCGATGATTGCTGTGCCATAGATCTTTCGGCACGCTCCGATTCATCAGGGACCTCCTCCACAGTTGGTTGCTGCGTTTGCGAGGCAAGATTTGCGGCAGGTTGTGCCTCAAGATCCTCCACGGTTACTGTCGGCCCTTCCGTCTGGTCGCCTTCCTTGATGACCGGGTTTGTTGCGTTAGGATCCTCTCCGGCCTTGATCGCCTTCACAATTCTCAGCGCATGATACTTGGCAAACTTGATTTTCGCAGCAACTTCGGGTTCGAGGGGATTCCAAATTTGACATAATTCAAGGAACGTAGCGGCAGCCTGAAACGTGTCTGCTGTTTGCCTGCAACGCGTCAATCATAATCTAACCCTGAGAGTTGTCCATGACTGCTCACTTAGTCACTTTGTTGGCCCTCATCGTAGTATCCGCCCGGTTAAAGACCTCCAAGCCGAACTGTTCCACGTAGGCATTCGCCGCGACTGCATCGGTCACTGTATCATTATCCGAGTTCTCATTTCTGAACTTTGTACCATAGCATGTCAACATTCAGGTACACTATGAAATCGGCCCAGGGGGTCCATTCACTCGACGTACTTGTTCCAACTTCTCCATCAGATCCATCGCATATTGTTCGACTTCATGATCCGATCTGTGTAATCCTCTCTCAATTATTTGGTTTGCTATCCAGTAGTTACCTGCATTCGAATAAGAGCATGTGTCAGCGTTGGTGTCTCGAGGGTACAATCGCACGGCACTCACACCAGTAGGCAACGACGGGCTTCACCCGCTCAATTTGGGCCGCTCTCGCCGCGAAGCGCCCAATGTCCGCAGACTTGAGACTAGCAGGAATATTACTCGTCATGGATATGAATAGATTATATCAACGCCTGTATGGGTATGGCGAAATCGAGGATTGTTGGGGTGGAGGAGCGGGACGCATGAACAAAGCGGGGATGACGTTGAAGCTCCAATTTAATGTTGTCGGGCACTGTACCGAGCCTTGGGAATCAAGGTACCACTACGGAGAACGGAGTAACTGTAAACGGACATTTGCTTGTTTACGATTTTTCAATCTACGACTAAAGAGAATGATATAATTTACATGTCAACTAAATGATCTTCGAGTCATTATTCTCGTGTCTCCTGACTTGTACTGTCGCCCGGCATTGCGCAGAGGTCTCACGCTCATCACCTCCGCATAACCCAGGTAAAACATGCTGCCAAATCTAATTCTTAAGCATCTTCGACAAACCATTCTCCGATTTCAACTCGCTCTTCGGCCAAGGCTTCTACCTCGAAGTGATCTTCTACCTGGCCTCCGGGGCCTCCAATCCGTTCAAGGACAATCCACACTCCACGGCTGTCTTCAAGACAAGGATGCAGGTCGAAGTCTTCAATACGTACTCCAGATATCGCATCGCTATGATCGCCGTCTTCTGAAGTCGCCAGAATCTCCTTATAGGGGCCTTGGCCCAATTCAACTGTCATCAGCACTGGTGAAGGGCCAACGGGATGACTCCCGATCGTAGAACGGCGACTGCGAGCAATAAGCTTGATTCGGGTAAGTCGCGGGACCTGCAAAGGCGCCAGAATCCTGTCTCTTCCGGGTGGTAAGACACCAATATCTGATAACACTGCTCGCCGCCCTGCTACTTCGGACGAAAGGGGCTTGACCTCGCATGGAACCATAGATGAGACCCAAAGTGTGAATCGGCCAAGTTGGTCGGGCGCGAATGTGGAACAAATAATCGTGTACACGCCCTTATCCAGGTTTCTTTTTTCAGCAAGAGCGGCTCCTCGACGATAGTCGCCGCTATCAGTGATAATATCGCGGTTGCGAACTCTAGTCACGCGCTTTCCGTTCGAAAAGAATAACTTGGCATGTATTGCAAGTTCGGTGTCGGACGATTCCAACAGAATGGAAATATCAGTGGCATTCGACAGCGTTAATGCGAACTGCGGATTCGTGGGGTACCGAGCTGATTCTGCATTGCCGCCTGCAGTCGAAGGCATCCAAAAACCATGGACCTTACTCACACACGTATATTTATTCTGTGATGGAGTAATATGCACAGGAGATATCGAGAGGCCGGATAGTGTGAAATTCTGACTCAAAGCAGGCAGCGACTCCTCAGACACAACTGCCGTGTAAGTTGTTCTCGGCGGCATTTCCAACCTCATCAGGGTGTTGGGTGAGTCCACGTAGGGACCCCGATGAAGCGCACCATCACTTAGACAAACACGCTTACCATCTGCATTGAATACGTAAATGCTAATAAACCCAGCTTGAGAGTCCTCAGACGAAGAATAGCCGAGACGATCAATCGTTTTGAAATGCTTGCCGAGGAGCAGCCAGACAGTGCCTCCCCTTTCGGAGGTTACTGCAAACTGCGGATTCTTCACAAAGCAGCCCGGAACACCCTTTCCAGCAGCGAGGTCCCATGTAAAATGTATATCTTGGCGGTATTTGAAGAGGCTGGGATTCCAATTCAGATAGAGATTTTCAAAGTTCTGGAAGACCATCTCGCAGTCCATCCAAAACGTCCCAGGAGAGAGTGACGATCGGTCATGAGGCGCGTTTGACTCAAGGGTCTTCTCCGTCCTTCCACTAGCCGTGTGGACTCCAGCCCATGGGTTCTTCACTAACATTTGCCGACGGCCCTTGAACTCTTTCATATCGAGAATCGCATAATCATGCTCACTAACCAAGCCCAGTTCTTCCTCTTCTTTCTCGGTTAGCTTCCCAGTCCCAATAGTCAATAAAACATCGCCATATTGAAACGATCTAAAGAGACGCCTCCAGATTTGATCGCTAGTCACATCCTCATGATGGAGGAAAACTTGTTCAGGTATCCAACCCGTCAGTACCCACAGGTCTGTTCCAGAATTGCTCCCTGGAAAGTCGTAGCCCCCTCTTAGCTTTAGGTACGCCTTTTCCACAAGGGCAGGCCACAGAAAATTGGGGTTATCTCTATCAACAACGTAAAGTGACCTTGAGGTCTTCGACGATGGCAAACGGTCATCGATGACTACCTTCCTGAAGCATCCGTTGAAATAGAAACGAAGAATGTATCGCCCTGAAGGCGAAGGCTTGGGATGACCTGTATCATACTCGCAGGGATAAATCACAGGGAGATAGCGCTACTTTTATGTCAGAGCCTGACACAATTCATCAACAGTCGGAGTGGATTACCTTGTCAAGGCCACGTTCCGATCGCGACGTTGTAGCGCAGAGACTGGCGACAACGGAGCAGTCTGTCAAGACATCTTGTACAAGATCAGTCTTTTCTGGTACGGACATCACCAACGTGTCCCCGTCGGCATGCGCCAACAGCTCTGAAGGCCGCTTCCACCCATCAAATATGTCCTTCTGTTTGTCAGAAAGATGGAGGTCAGGCTTGTCACTAGCCTGTGTTAGCAGTCACTTCCAGTACATTTAGTAAACACTGCATGAACGCACATGAATAATTGCCCTCCCTCACTAGGTTCGAATTCTTCTAGACTGGGAGGCCCTGCCCACGGGGGAAAGATGAAGCCATTCAGCTTGGCCCCTTCAAGCAAGATTATCTCTTCACGAGTTGTGAGCGTGCGCGTAGACGCCGGTGTCTGGAGTTCCGCTGCATGTCTCTCATGGACCCGGATTGCGGATCGCCAATCCTTGGCTTCTTTGATTCTCTCTGCTCTGGAGAGCCATTCCTTGCATTTCGCATCCAACGACTGCTTGTCATTAGTGGTTGCTGCCAGAGACAGAGCTTTCATATAATGCTCAGCAGCGTCAATAGCAGCCTCCAGGGCTTGCCTTTGA